TAAAATATTTTTAATGCTTTAGTGTCTTGTATAGAAAACAAAATGTGGAGTTGCAATCTAAAGTTATAGTAATTATTTATTTTTAGACTAATAATTTAGAAAAATGTCATCTCTTAAATCATGTAGAAAAGAAAAAATGAAGTTACACATTATTGTTACTATAATGCTAGCTTTTATAATTAGTCATGTATTTTCTGAAATCTTAATTTCTTTGTGTGGACTTTTTTTATTACTTTAAAGGTGTCACTCAATTGTCTTCTGGCTTATATTGTTTTTGATGAGCTTTTGGATCTGAGGCGTGATGTCTTTCATTCATTTTGGAAAAAATTCTCAGTTATTATCTTTTTAAATGTTTCTTCTGCCCAATTATCCTTCTTTTCTATTTTGGGATTCCACTTACAGGTATAATATATTAGTCTTTTGATATTGGCTTGTAACTCTTGGATGGTCTCTTCTTCTCTGCCCCTCATCTACATTTTTTCTCTGTGTCCTAATTGGGATAATTGCTCTTGACCTATTTTGTAATTCATGAATTCTTTTCTTGCCTCTGTAAAATCTACTGATGAGCTATCAATGACATGCTTAATTTTTAAAAATATTTTGTACTTTAAGTATTTTCACTTGATTCTTTTTTATGGCTTCCATTTCTCCATTGAAATCCCCCATTTGTTTATGTATGTTGTTTACTTTTCCCACTGACTTTTCACACATTGATTATCACTATTTTTAATTCATCCCTCAACAGTTTTAACATATGTTATATCTCTTGTCTGTTTCTGTTGATTGCTTTGTTTCTTGACAACTTTTTTTCTCCTTTTCTTACTTCTGTGTGTACTGTATAATTTTTTGGTTGAAAACTGGATATCATGTAGTCTAGCGACAGAAGTAAAAATGTCTTATCTGTGGTTTCACTCTTCATAGTTTTAGTTACCTGCAGTCAACCACAGACTAAAAATGTTAAGTGGAAAATTCCACATATCAACAATAAGTTTTAAATTGCATACTCTTCTGAGTAGTGTGATGAAATCTCACACTGCCTGCTCTGTCCTGCCTGGGAGTGAATCATTCCTTTGTCCAGCATATTCACGCTATTTATGCCACCTGCCTTTTAATCAATTAGTAGTCATCTTGGTTATCAGATCTACTGTTTTGGCCTCACAGTGCTTGTATTCAAGTAATTTTTATTTTACTTAGTAATGGCCCCAAAGAGTAGTGATGCTGGCAATTTGGATATGCCAAAAGGAAGCTGTAAGGTGGTTTTGTTACATGAAAAGGTGAAAGTTCTTGACTTAATAAGGAAAGAAGGAAAATCATATGCTAAAGTTGCTTTGATCTGTGGTAAGAATTAATCTTCTATCGAAGCTTTGCTGTTGTACATCAGACTGCCAAAGTTATGGCCACAGTGCATGATAAGTGCTTACTTAAGATGGAAAAGGCATTACATTTATGGGCAGAAGACATGAACAAAAGTATGTTTCAGTTGATGGCAATAAGGTTCAGTACTATCCTTATCAGGCCTCCACTGGGGGTCTTGGTACATTGCCCCTGCAGATAAGGAGGAGCTATTGTATTTTTTATCTGTGTTCTAGAGGCTGAGGCAAATAGAAATGGACATGCATCTTTTTTTTGGTAGGCCTTCAGTGTGAGGAGCTGCATCGGTTTACTCAATAATAGAGCAGGGCTTGGGTTTGATGTTGCTGTGGTTGCCCTTAGTGCACCACCAACTTTAAATTCCTCCAGTGTTACCTTGCATATAGAGGATTTGCTTCAGTATTTACTCCACCCTCTGCTTTAGGTATTCCCATGTACATGCGCCTCAGAGAAGGTCCTCTCCATAATCTTGTCTTATTCCCAGCAGTAGAGAGCTCTTATTTATAAATTACTTTGCTTCTCAACCTGGTTTGGGGCAACATTCTCTGATGTCCTTGTTCAGCCTCAGTCTTAGGAAGGCCTCAGATGGTACCTGCTTTGTTATTCTGTCCATTCTGCAGGAGTAGGGAATATCTTATGATCTGGGTCCAGGACGCTTTTCTCTCTTCCCTACCCCAGTGTTAATGAGTCTTCACTTGTGCCTCGAGGGTGACAGGGTTTCATGCCTTTTCCCAGATTCTTATGCTTTTGGTCCATTAGGGAAATAGGAGAACACATTCTGGGCATGCTTTGTGCCATTCCTGTGGATGCTGTTTTTTTCACTCCCTAAGCTTGCCCCATAAAGGAGTTTTTCTCAAGTTCCTCACCCTGTCTCTAACTTTTCTCCTGAACCTCTGATGAGGTTCTCACTTGCATTAGCTTTTATTGTTTGTTTTTAAACCTTTCTTCTCTTCATTAATATATCTACACATGCCTTTGTCCTGTGTCAATAAGTTGATTTTCAACTGTCTGCTTTGTTTCTTGCAGAGTTTGATTATAAATTATTACTATAATTATGTACTTTTGAGCTTTATTATCTTAGGTTTACAAACTATTTTTTTTACCTTATTTTATTGTTTTCTTATCTCCTTATGAACTCTTATTTAAAATAATTTATTCTCTTATTCTTTTGACAGATGTTGCATACACAGTGAATTTTCTTTTTTAAGCTTATCTTCCATTTTAGAATAGATTTTAAAAATTATTCTGTATCCTATGTTGTATTATTATTTTTCTGTGTTTCACGTTTTATTCCATTTTGTTATGAACATGTATAACTTTGTGTATCTCTTTAATTTTGTTGATTGAGCAGGAATGAATTCTTCTTGATTTCCATTTTTATTTGGATCTGATTACCTTCCCTTATAAACTACATTTTGGAGGGCTGCATTTTGCCTGAGGACAATGATAAGTGTGCTGAACGGGTGGGGGCCAAGGAGCAGGAAGCTCAAAGGGCGTGGCATGGCTAAAATGTTAACCACGTATCATACATGCCCTTACTCAACATCAATCATACCCTTCTCCTAGTGTACCTTCCTGTATGGCCCAGGCAGAAAAATGAAAAATTACTTTTTCCAAGACCTCCTGGTAGCTTATTTGGGCTTGACCAATCATATGCACTTAGCCAAGATGTATATGTGTAGAGAGGCATCCATTTTGTTGCTATGCGTCATAGCAGGCTTGGCATTCCTGGTCCTCATCATAGCTAAGGTGATGTGTTACTAGAGCCAACAGTTACGGTAGTAACTTTCTTAATTCTCCATTGTTGCTCATGTGGTGTCATTCAGGAGCCAGTGGCTAGAAAAAATGGTCTCCAACTTTCTCAGTTTCCTCATTGTGACAAAGACAGAACTTTTCTTGGCAGACCATTATGCAGTGTTGTTCTTTGATCATGAGAGAGGCATCTTCTCTTCAGGCCCACCCAATGGTGATACCAGCACCAAATAGCTAGATCAAATCACTTTCTGTAAACTGGCTGGAATGATTCCAGGTTCTGATCAATTGCTGATGTCATCAAGAACGTAGGTTCTTTATGTTTTTCACGTTTGCTATACTTCTTCCTTTTATGGCCATAAGAGGGCAGCCTATGATAATTAGGGCCTTATGCTTCTTTACGTCTGTACAGAGGGATGAGGGTAGAAGAGAGGTTTGCTTCTCTTTTTTGCAAGACCTGCCTATTTCTATAGCTGACGCAAATCACCTACCTATTTCTGAATTATTCACTGGAAAGATCTTACTGCAGAATGATCACAAATGGCTTTAACTAACCATAGGGATAGAATCAGTGTTGGGGAGTCAATGCCAGTGTTTGTTACAGTCTTCTACATTTTCATTGTTTTTTCTCTCTGCCTTCTCCAGCTTTTGCTCTAGCAAAGGTGAAACACAGTGGGAAAGTCTAAGGGGTTTTCTGTTGGAGATCAAAGATGATCAAAATGGCTTCTACTCTTGGGGAGTTTTATCTCTCCTTCTAGCCTGCTTAGACCTCCTCTCATACTAAGGTTTGGGATATTCGTGAGAAATTTTAGGATTTCTGTGCCTGTCTGTCCCAACCAACAGCCCTCACTTTCAACCCTACAAAGAGCCTCTGGATACAGTGGCGTTCCAAGATAAGATGTGCTTCCCAGGAATGTGCAGATTGTTAGAAATTTCCATCTCTTTCTTTTTCTGTATTGTTTTTTATATATCTTTTTGCTGGTATTAACTTGAATTTTGTTCACATTATTTGGCTTTGCAAAGAGATTATGAGAACTTTACTTGAACATCTTATCTCAAAATTTTGAAACTTTTAAAATATGCTTTAACTATTGACTCCTAGATTTATTGCATTTTGGCCAGTGGAGATGATGTATAAAATTTTAGATATTTGGAAACTTGACTGTCAACATGACCTAAAAGATCATAATTTAAAAAAATAAAAGGTCCATATGTGATTTCTTTTTTTACATCATTGCCAGGGGGTTTCCTTTCTTTTTTTATTTGGTTTAAGTACATTGTTTTTAAATATTTTATATATTTTAAGGTGTGCTATTAAATATTAATAGAATGTTATTTCTAATATTGGTTACAAGTATCCGTAAATATTTATTATTCAGTCTTATTAATTACCTTGCATAGATCCTCTCCATCCTTGGTGTGTATGTGTTTGTGTTCAGTCTGTTTCAGAGTAATGAAACAAGATGTGGACTCTCTGCATCCTTACATCTCAGACTCTAGGAACTTCCAAAAGTTTGTTCCCAGGGAGGGCAAAAGTTCTCTCTTTTTCCTAATCCAAGCCTTGTACATTCTTGCCTTGGCATAACTGTCCAATTCACATTATAAAACAGAACACTTCTCAAACCACAGCATTCGTTGTGTTTGTACCACTGAACAGTTTTCTCCAAGGACAGTGGATTTTGTTTAATTTCAAGGTGTACATTGCCATGATTTTTTCAAAGGAAGCCTCTTTCAAAGTAATAGATTCTTCACACGTGGAAAAACAAACTTCCATTCACCCTTAAATGCTGAGCCTTTAAGAGAAACAGAAACAAAAATAAAATCTCCCTTCACAAATATACCAGTAACTTACAGATGTGAATTTTTCTCTTCTTTAGATACACACAAAATTGTTTCTGAAGGGGAACTAGATCAGTTGGCTCAGATTCGGCCATTAATATTCAATTTACATGAGCAGTCAGCCATCAAGGATTGTTTGAAAATGCTTGAGAAAAAAACAGCAGCATTTGCTATCATGCAGGAGGAGTTTATGGTAAATATTTTCTTAACAAAAGTCCATATGTGATTTCTTTTTTTGCATAATTGCCAGGGGGCTTCTTTTCTTTTTTTATTTGGTTTAAGTACATTGTTTTTAAATATTATATATATTTTAAGGTAATAGACGTACATGGTAAAATTTAAAAAAAAGCCAAATAGTATAAAAGGGCATAAAATAGAAAGTCTCTCTTTTTTTCTCGTGACTTTCTAGGGCCCCTTTACACTATTCATTTTGTCATGTAAACTTTTAAAGAAAATTGTTGGAATGTACTTTACATCCTTAAATTTGTTTTCCACCTAGATACAATTTCCAAATATATTATCAGCACATATAGCAGTATCTCATTTTTTTTTAAGTATTGCATGGTAGTTATATGGATAAGTACCTTGATTTCCAAAATTGAGGTACTTATAATATTTAATTTCTGAAATTAAGGTAGTTATCCATATAATTAACTACGATGCAACACTTAGAACATTGGACGTTTAGATTGTTCTGGTCTTTGCTGTTATGAACAGCAGCCATCTCTCTTCATATACTGTATGCATACCTATGTAAATGTTTTTAGAACAAATTTCTAGAAAGATAATATTAATATTTTGGGCTATCAATTGCTTGGATCTTTTCTCATCTCTTAAGTGACACATTCTTATTGATTATTTAATTGGTATTTATTTGACAACAAAAGAATATCTTTCCATATGTTTTTAAACCTTTTATGTTTTCAGTGAACTGATAGTTTCAATTCTTTGCTCCATTTTCTATTTTTTTCCTTATTGATTACTAACTCTTTAAGGAAAAAATTATCCCTTTGTGTGTCTTACATGTGTTTTTTCTGCTGTCATTTATGTTACACACAGGTGCACATGCATGTGCACAAGCATGTGTATTTACCATGAAGAAATAGCCGATTTTTAGTGGTCAGATATGGCAATCTTCTCTTTTGGCGTTCTGGATTTGGGGCTTTCTGTGCTTTTTAGGAATGCTTCTTTTACTCTGGTATTGCAATAATTGTTTCATGTTTTTGCTAGTACTTTTATGATTTTTTAAGCATTTAAATCTTTGATGTGATGCAGCTAGAATTTAATTTGATATAAGATGTTTGATAGGGACCCAGCATTGTATAGCTAACCAGTTGTCCCAAGATCCTCCTGGGATTTCTCTCAAGTGATGTAAAATGCCGCTTTTATCATATACTAGAGCCCTACATATATTTTAATTTATTTTTGGACTTTTTTTTACTGATTTTCTTATTCCTTTATTGGTATTATTCTTTTAATTAGCATAGCTTCATATTATCTTTTCACATCTAATAAGACTCATCTCCCATCATTATTCGTTTATGAAATTTTTCTCATTCTTCCCATAGATTTCTTTCATATTAATTTTAGAATTGGTTTTCATACAGACTTGATCATTTTCTCATACTACTTAAAACCTTCACATCCTCCTTGTTACCCATGGCAGTGGTTGCTAGGTTGGCTACACAAGAGTTACCCAAGAGCTTTGAAAATGTATAGATTCTCAGACTTTCTCCACAAATATTCTAAGAGAGTAAGACTAGCTATCTCCTAATTTCATTTATATATGAAACAAGATTGTTTATAGTTTTTTTGGGCTAGATCATGTGCTCTGTGTTCTTATTACAATGTTAGTCACAATTTCCCAAAGGGACGTGTATGCCTCCATTATTTCTACCCCTTCACCTTCTCTCCTCTTTCCTTCTACATACACACTGCTTTTCATATGCTAACTTCTGGTGACTCTCTAAGGCCTAGTTCAAGGGCTAATTCCCCTTTAGGAGCTTTCTTCTTGTTCTTTTTTTTTTTTTTTTCGAGATAGTTTCACTTTTGTTTCCCAGGCTGGAGTGCAATGGCATGATATCGACTGACCACAACCTCCACCTTCCAGGTTCAAGCAATTCTCTTGCCTCAGCCTCCCAAGTAGCTGGGTTTACAGGCATGCGCCACAATATCCAGCTAATTTTTTTGTATTTTTAGTAGAGATGGGGCTTCTCAATGTTGGTCAGGCTGGTCTTGAGCTCCCAACCTCAGGTGATTCCCCCACCTCAGCTTCCCAAAGTGCTGAGATTACAGGTGTGAACCCCCACGCCCAGCTAGGAGCTTTTCTTCTTGACTTTTAGGTACAATCTAGTGCTGTCATTTATACTAGTGTCTCTGTACATTGGTTACATGGTATTTAATTACATGTCCTCTAACTACTATGTTCACTCCTGAAGGACAAGGTCATTAAAATTCTTCTTTGTATTCCAGTATCTGAAACAGGGCCAGGTACCTATTAAATCCTCAGTAAGCGTTTGTTGAATTCACACCTGGTAAAGAAATTTTTTGAAAGGCAGGATTCTTAGGGTCCTAACTATAATTTCTTCGAAGGGTAAGGGTAAATTGTGAGACTGTTTGTATTAATTTTTTGTTTATATGTTTTTGTTGCTGTTATTTTGTTATTTTTGTTTGCAAAGTGATAGATCTGTGGGTAGGTTCTCAGAAGTGAATAGTCTGTATTTTTTTTTTTTTTATGAAAGAAGAACAAAATGAAGTTCAAGTGGAAAGGATCTCCATAAAGTTTAACATTTTCTTATTAAGTAACTTATTGCCTAGCATCTGAAACTTGAGATATTTTATATAGAACTTTTTAAATGGGGATCTAACTTCACTTATTATAAAATACATTAAATAGCAGGTCATGTCATATAGGGGTTTAGGATCATGAGCACTAAACAAAGGCAGATCTTTTCTTTTTAATTGGTTGTAGTAAATATACAACTTATTTATTTATTTATTTATTTATTACCTTTTAAAGGCTTTAGAACTTAAGAATCTGCCTGGTGAGTTCAACTCTGGGAATCATCCACGCAACAGAGCAAAAAACAGATACCGAGATATTCTTCCATGTAAGCTAAAAATGGTTTTGATTATTTTCCTGTTTACATTTAGAAAAAGTGAAAAGGGCTCTGTATGGTTTTTTGTATGAGACATTTTGGCCTGTGACCATGATGAAGAGTTCTGGTACATAGCAGTGGGTGACCTGGATGTATTCTAAGATATATGCTAGATATGAGAGTCAGTTCCTCTATTTCTGGTATATCCTTCAGCCACTGTCACAGGGTCATTTACAGCACTCCTTCAGCCTTGTTCTCATATATTGCTGCTTCTCAAAGCATGAACCATCCAAAACATAAAATGCAATAGTCTGAGTCATACGCCAGTTTTGGTACCCGAAGCCCTAACCACCTTCCCTGACTATTTTGTTTAGACACAGAAAAAGAGCTATTTGCTTCCTTCGTCCTGGACAATAAAGCTATTAATCTAATCTCCAACAGGAAGCTGCCTTTCGATTGTCTCCACAGGGCCCTAACATTGCCTCCCTGTGTTGGATGGGAGGGTAGTGGCACCTTCTGTCTTCCCACTCAGTTACTCTCAGGAGTTATTCATCTCAGGCCATTCAAAGAGCAGAATCAAAATGCAACAATGCAATTTTAATCTTAGGCAGGAAATCTCATTTCATGACTTACATTTCTTTCAATGTCAAAGTTTTTGAAAACTAAATTTACCATTTTATTCCTCCAACTTAACCCTCTTCTTATTCAATATCTTACGTAATCACCAAGTTAAAACCAGAAAACAGGGAGTCAGTTGATTCTACCTCCATAATACCTCCAGAGGCCTCCCCAGTCTCTCAACTCCCACTGCTGCTGACTTAGACTGAGCCCATTTTACCTCTCAGCTGACTACTGTCTTCTTTACTGCCTCCCTTTCTGATCATTCACAAAAGCTGCTGAAATTATTTTCTTAAAATTCGGATCAGAACATGTACCTGTTCTTTCAAATCTCTTTCTTGGCTCTGTTACTGTCATGGTACAATTCCATAACATGGCATACGAATTTCACCTGTTTGTCTCTCTAGCCTCAGCTCTCCCACAGAACTTCTTTTGGTATCTAGAATTCATAATTATTTATTTGTTGGTTTTCATGCCTCTTTACCTACAGTTCTTGAAAGAACTACTTATCCTCCCTTCTTTGCTGAGGTAGTTACTGCTGTCTTTCTTAGCTAGCTCCACTAGGTTTATTTTCCTCAAAGCTAGGTTTAGTGTTTTTCCAGTAGTCTCATAGCATCTGGTAACCACTCTCCCCGACTACAAACCATATTTTAATTATTTTCATTTCTGTTTCTCCTACTAGACTTGAGATAGTTTTTATAAAAACCAGAGTGGAACACAGTAACTGCTGTCATTAGATAAATACCTTCATGGTTAGCTGGTTTGTTAAAATCAAAAATAACTTTATGATTTAAAAAACAATAAATACCTTTCCAACATGGTTCAAATAATTTATTCTGTTATTTTCTGTGGGGAGAATGTGGAGATGTGCATTGATGAATACTTCTGAAATCAGAATAATGAACCATGATTAGATATTTTAATAAATAATGCTAATAATTTGTTGCTCCTCCAAGTAGTCAAAGGTCCAAATAATTTCTATTCCTGCATGTGCAGTTAACCCCCAAGGAGACTGAAAGCAAACAGGCTTTTAAAATGAGCCTCTTGGGATTGTAAGAAGCTCATTTAACAATAGAGGGTACACATTATATTTGATCTGACTTGAAGTCTTTATTCTGGGTATCAAAAGAGTTACAACTAAGAAATTCAAAGATAATAAAAAATAAAGTTAAATCATTAAAGTAAGGGAACTTATGTAAAACTTTCTGGTTTTCATAAAAGCAAATAAACTGTAATTCAACCATATTCTATTTAAAGGTCCATTTGTATATCTACCTCATAACACAGTATAATCTAATCTAACACACAGCCAACTTAAATGGCCATTATAGAAAGCTCTTTGGTTTTTTTAACCACACATTTCTTGGCTTTATAGAAGAGGTTCCTGAAGACTCACATCAAGAAAGCCAGAGGTGTAATTTATTTGTCACCTTCAAATGCTGAGAGCACTAAATGGATGAATTCACACACCTTCGAACACTGCAAATACAGACAGTCTTCACTTTACATGGTCCTAATATGTACAAATATAGGTTACTGTGTTGAGCTAAATAACACCAGTCCTACAACAATACAATTCACATTTTATTTACCACAATATATTCACTGCAAGTAACTGCCTAAAGTAATAAGCGTCTTTGCTAGCACTTCAATCCACAACTCCCTATGTAAATAACAGATGTGCATCATGACCAGTGACTAATAAATGTTACTTGTTTCAAAATATGTCAGTGATAGGTAACTGTGAGCCTATTATTCAGTTCACACACAGCAAAGCATGTGGTTTGAGACACAACCAGTGTTGTCTCCTTGTCTCTCAATAGTAAACTCATATGACCTTTTACCAAAATGTATAATCAAGAGAGAGAATTGGCTGATAGAGATGAAACTGCAGTAAAGAAACAAAAAGTGATAATGTTGGGAATAAAATTTGAATGGAATTGTAGAAAAACTGGCTGACCAGGGACGTGCTGACGCTACTACTGCTCAAGAGACTGTGGAGCTGCAGCCCACAGCACCTGTGGAAAAGGAATTTACTGATAGGAACGAGCAAAGCGGTTGTGATGAAAAGGATAAAGGCAACCTAGAGGAAGCAATGATGGCAAAAAACTTCACATTAAAGAAAATTTGAAGCTATTTCACAACAATATAAATGCCAAAGATAACAGGTGGAAACTGATCCAAACTTAGAAGTTAGCCTAGAAAACATGCTCACTCTGTATTGTAAGTTATACAACGAAAAGAAGAGGCAAACACTGTTCAAGCTACTCTTAGAAAGTTTGTTTTGTTTTAACATATTAAATGCTTTAATTTCCAACACTTTTAATTTTTAAATTACAATGTTGTAAATAAATATTAGCCCTGCTATTTTTTTGCTTCTCTATATATTTATAGCCAGCAAAAAGTGAGTTTTAAATGCTTTCACAAGAAGTTTTAAAGACCATGAAACAATAATATTTCCTATTGATTTTAAAGTTCTTTTTGTATGGTTTCACCTTGCATGGTCATATTTATGGCCCTGCACTATCATGCAAAGCAAAAATGGCCTTTATTATATAGTATAGGAATTTTTAGGCTGGCTCTGCCAAGATGGCCAAATAGGAATAGCTCCGGAGCATAGTTCCCAATGAGAGTGATGCAGAGGGTGAGTGATTGCTGCATTTCCAACAGAGGTACTAGGTGCATCTCAATGGGGCTGGTTGGACAGTGTGTGTAGCCCAAGGAGGGAAAGCCAAGGCAGGGTGGGGTGCTGCCTCACATGGGAAGTGCAGCGGACCAGAGGAAACCCTCTACTACACAACGGAGCCTATTGGGGCTTTTCTGGCAACTCCGGTTCAGATACTGCACTTCTCCCATGGTTTTTACAGCCCACAGACCAGGAGATTCACACCAGCTGACAAGTGCCATGGGTATCCAGCACAAAAACCTGCACAAATCTGGGTGGCCATTTTAACTGGCACTTGGAACACCTGTGAGACAGAACTGCACATTTTCCTGAAAAAGAGGGAACTGAAGGCAGGGAGCCAGGTGATCTGGCTAGGCGGGTTCCACCCTGACAAAGAGCAGCAATATGAAACGTGCTGGCTTGAGAGTTTTGCAGCCAATGCAGCAGTTTGAGCTCGACCCAGGACTGTTGAGCTCCCTGGGGGAAGGCCATCCTCCATTCCTCCATTACCAAGGCAGTCCACCATTACTGAGGCAGCCTGCCATTATCGAGGCAGCCCGCCATTACTGAGGCAGCCCGCCATTACTGAGGCAATCTGCCATTACTGAGGCAGCCCACCATTACTGAGGCAGCCCACCATTACTGAGGCAGTTCTAAACTTACCTGTATAAACAAACATTTACACAGCAACTGGACAGAGCCTGCAGCAGCCCAGCAACACCTCTGCAGGCAGACTGTAACTAAACTCCCTCCTTGCTTGGCAGGGCATCTCTGTAAAAAGGCAGTAGCACATCAGGGACTTATAAATAAAGCCCCACCTTCCCAGAACAAAGCACCTGGGAAAAGAGGCGGTTGTGAGTTCCACTGCAGCAGACTTAAATATCCCTACCCAGCAGCTCTGAACAGGACAATGGATAACAGAGCTCCCAGCACAGCACTTGAGCTCTGATAAGGGACAGACTGCCTCCTGTAGCGGCTCCCTGACCTTGATATATTCAAAGAGGAATGTCATAAAGGAGAGCTCTGGCTGACATCTGGTGGGTAGCCTTCTGGGACAAAGATACCAGAAGAAAGAACAGGCAGAAACCTTTACCGTTCTGCAGCCCCCATGGGTAATTCCCAGGCAAGCATGGTCTGGAGTGAACCTCCAGCAGCCTAGCAGCAGAGAGGCCTGACTGTTAGAAGAAAAACGAAAAAACAGAAAGAAATAGCCTCAACATCAACAGAAAGGACCTCCACTCAGAGACTCCATCCAAAAGCCACCAATTTCAAAGACCAAAGGTAGATAAATCCATGAAGAAGGGAACAAACCAATGAAGAAAGGATGAAATCACCAAAAACCAGAGCGTCTCTCCTCCTCCAGGGGATCACAATCCCTCACCAGCAAGGGAACAAAACTGGATGGAGAATGAGTTTGATGAATTGGAAGAAGCAGGCTTCAGAATGTGGGTAATAAATTTCTCTGAACTAAAGGAACATGTTCTAACCCAATGCAAAGAAACCAAGAACCTTGAAAAAAGGTTAGAGAAAATGCTAACGAGAATAACCAGCTTAGAGAAGAACATAACCGATTTGATGGAGCTGAAAAACACAGCACAAGATCTTTGCAAAGCATACACAAGTTTTAATAGCTGAATTGATCAAGCAGAAGAAAGGATATCAGAGATTGAAGACCAACTCAGTGAAAAAAAATGAGAAGGCAAGATTAGAGAAAAAAGAGTAAAAGAAA